CCAGGCCTTAAGCATACAGAGCCCATTTTCAGAAAGGCGTGGAAACATGGTCACCAGTGGGCCAGGATCATGTGGGCACCAAGGGACTGCTCTGGGCACTTATCTGAGCAGGGTGCCACGGGATGTTCACACATCTGCACTACTAACCATGTTACAGAAGCAAGAAAAGGCCACCAGCATGGCACCAGGAACCAGGAGAAGCCCCTCTCCGGGCTGTAATGTGCCTCCACCTCCCTTTCCTGGGAAGCCTTCCTGTGGGTTCACTGTTAAGTAGAGAATGTTCGGAGTACCTATTCCCAGAGCAGAATCTCCAGGGTGAATCTGGACTGTGCAGCAGTAAGCTGGTTACTGGTACAAGCTGTAATGGGTCATTAGAACCGAGGTCAGGAAACTTTCTACAAAGAGCCTGATAGTGAGCAGCTTTTGAGTCCTAGCTTCTGTCAAACTACTCAAGTCGGGAAGCTGGGGATGTAGCTCAGCAATATAGCACCTGTCTGGCAAGCAAGAGGCAGTATGGACAATATGTAAACTAATTAGCAGGTCTGTATCTCAATAAAACTTGATTTACAAAAACAGGCAATCTATTTGTCCACACACTGACTTACCAATTCCTCATGCAGATTTTTTTTTTTTTAAGACAGGGTCTTACTGTGTTGTCCAGGCTGGACTTAAACTCAAAGGATTCACCTACCTCAGCCTTCTGCATGGCTGAGACAACAGATGCACACCACCATGCCCAGACGTTATGTAAAATTTTAGAATGAAGAAAAAAAAACTTTATTCTGCAAATAGGAATGCACTCAAAAGAGGGAGGAGTATAAGAGCAGAGTGAGGCAGATGGTGGGGCTGAGTGAGAGGAATTTAAATGAGGGTATTAACATCTACCTCATATGCTTTTTTTGTCTAAATTAGCTACGGTTTTAAAGAGTCTAAGAAGGTACCTAATAATTACCATTGCCACTAAGGGTCTGTGAAAGGCAAAATAACAGTCCACATTGTGCCCTCCACATATAAAGAGTAGAAGCTGAGGCTCGGAGGGGTTAAGAAATTTGTCTCAACTCACACAACCTTGTGGAGTCATAAATAATCAGCCTACCTGACTCTTAAATCCATGGTTCTCAACATCACCGCCCTACCACACTCTCCAGGGAGCCACGTATTTCCAAACTGGGTGCTTTCTTTACCATAATGAAATGATACAGCACCCTGCACCTTGGCAAGCTGAAACATAAAACCTGAAGAACACCACCGCTCTGTCTGTGTGCAGTCCGTCTCCTGGAAGTGCAGGGCACTTAAGAGATGGGAGGTGAGACATCCTGCTGCTGCTGTTCAGTGGCACCCCATAGCTTGCCAGCCAGTTCTGGTGTTCTATTTCAGGTCCCCTTTCCACGCCCTCCAACTTCCATGGCCTTCCCGGAGGAAGAATCATTGCTTCATCAATGGTAGAACATTTGTTGGGCTTCCCCAACATCACAGATGTTTCCATATTGTTCCTGACCTCTTTAAAATAAGGTTTATCAAAAAAACAAGTGGTAGGTATTTTATCACTGCCTATTGACAATGTGTTGGTTTAGGATCAACTCTGGGTATTTTGCACATAAGTGTTTCTAGTTCTGATAGCAAATCAGGTATTATTGCCCCTATTTAATGAATGTGACCCACTCAGCCATAAAGGGGGATAAAGAGTAATTTGTGGGAAAATGAATGCACCTTAAGACTAATGCTAAGTGAAATGAGTCAAACACAGAAAGTTAAATATCACATAGTTTCTCTGAGAAACTTAAAGCATAAATAGAGAGAAAAATAAAAGATAGATGATAGGAAACAGGGAGGGAGACCTTTGCAGATGGGGAGGGGATCTAGGAATGGAGGGAGGGAAGGGAAGTAAAATGGATTAAGATT